AGGGCCCTCTCCCACACAGCGGGTTTTATTCCAGTGGAGTTCTACTCTGATGGGCTCCATCAGTCTACCCTGGCCTGCAGCCCAGCCCCATGAGAGGTGTCACCTGGGAGCCTGTCAGATCTGTGTTTGAGGAGATCTTCGGGTGACCCCTGTGCCAGTGCAGCTGGAGCAGCCCTGGCAGAATATCACCCTTGTGCCCTGGCCCTCTTTTCAAACCCTGTTCTCTCTACTTTCTCCCAGAAGGGCCCGGCAGGGTGGCTTCTCTGACTGTCAGTCCTGACTGTTCATAGCTAGCACTTCCAGTTCTTTGTGGATCTATCTCCCTGCAGAGATTGGAAGCGCCCTGAGGGCAGAGCTCTGTCTTGTTTGCTGGTGTGTCTCCTAAACTCACACCAGAGTAGACCTCATGGTCCTCACACAGCAGCCCCAGGTGTAATTACCTAAGGAACAAGTGGGACAAACAGCTCCTGTCCCCAATCCTGTAAGAGCCCATGGTGCCCGACCTGAGGAGGACTTGTCACCAGAGAACCTTCTTGTTTCCCCTGGTAGAGCCCCTGAGCTACATGAGCTTGGAGAGTCAGGGATCCAGTTTCTGAGAGACAGGGTCAGGATATGGCTCGACAGTGTCTGCTAGATGCTTTCTGGGCCTGAGATCATCCAGGTGGGATGAGGGGTTAGTGTGTGTGTGTGTGTGTGTGTGTGTGTGTGTGTGTGTGTGTTTAATGTGTTTGGTACAGGGTCTCACTACACAGCTTGGACCGGTAGTGATCATTCTGTTTTCAGCCTCCTCAACACTGGGATTACAGGTGTAATCCACAACACCCCATCTGGGTGGCTGGCTCAGCATACCTGGGGGTGGGCCCAGCGCAGCATGTGGTACCTGGGATCGAACACTGGTCCCTGTGCTCGCCTAAGCAGGTGCTTAGTCAGCTGAGCTATCTCGCAGGCCTTAATTTGTGTTTTGATAAACTCATCAAACCCAGTGTGGGCAGACACAGGCTCTGTGTATGGGGCCCTTTTCAGACTCCTGGAGGAGCCATGGCACTTGAATGTGGGTTCTTCTTCTACACACCGCAATCTACTTGAGTGGACAGAAGTGAAACTGATAAGTTCAAGCAGCAAGATGAGTTTAATGGCCAGCCAAATAGCTCAATGGATTAAAGTGCCTGCAAGCAGGCACAGGGGGTGGGGGTTCATTCCCTGGGCCTGCTGTGCAGGCACCGCCCTCAGGGTGCACTGAGATTGTGATTAAGACTGGGCATGGTGGCACACCCCCGTAATCCCAGCACTTGGGAGGCTGTAAACAGGAGAATCACCACAAGTCCAATCTAGTACTGAGACCCTGAACACCCTGTAGACCCTTCCCTAAAATACAGGAAAATTTAAAAAAGATGAGTTTAAAATAGTTCTATGCAACAGTGTGGAAGTGTCACAAGGCTACTATGCCTTGTTAGAATGTGGTCAGGCAGGAAATTCTGTGTCGTACCCATGTACCTACCTACTTAGCTACTTACTTCCTCCTTGTTTATTCACCCATGTCTCTCCTGTTTGCCCACTTCCATCTGTTCATCCATCCATCCATCCACCCCCTCATTCTACCTGCCATCTGTCCTTTTACCCACTTATCCTATCCCATCTTCCATCTCTCTTGAGGGTTCTCTCTGTCTCTTTCTGTTTGTCTGTCACTGATTTGTACAACAACAATTGAGACCTGCTGTGGCTGGCTGGCATCAGAGCAGGCACTGTCCCTGTCTTTAGTGAACCCACACAGTCAGTGAGAGCACTTGTCCTGCTGTGTGCTCTTGTGTGCTCACCTGCAGAGCTGACCTGGAGCACAGAAATGCATGCTGAGTTGAGCTGGCCTGGGGGTGGTGTGGGGCTGGGCAATTCCACGTTGGTGGGGAGATTGAGAAAGCTGGGAGCTAAGGAATGGCCACAGACATTTGTTACAGTGGGACTTGGAGGGCCTCCTCTGGGGGAAGAAATAGGAGCACACCTCTTATTCCCGAGTTCAGGTAGCATTCTAGCTGCAAAGGAGTGTTGGGGCGCCCCTTCCTGCTTCCCTTGCTCTTCCTGATGCCTGGGTCTGAGATGCAGCCAACTATGATGTCCATGGTGAGCTCCACATGACAGCTATAGGGTGCTCAGGGCTGGGATCTCTCTGGATGAGTGATCCCTGGGGAATCTGGGGAAAGGCAGCACTGCGCTGGCCAGGGAGGACTCGGGGACTTCTTTGCTTCCCTGCCCCCTCCTCTCCCAGGCTGACCTCTGTTCTCACAAAGCTGCCCTTTCCTTCCCGCCTTGAAATCTGATAATGGAACTAATACCCAATATTTTTGCCTCCGAGAAAAGCAGGAGATAAACAGGAAGGCATGAGGGATTAAGGTGTCTCTCAAAGACAGGGAGGCAGAAGCACAGGACAGGCAGGAGTTGGGTGACACCTCTGTGTGGAGCCAAGGGCTCCTTCCAGATGTGAGCTGTTTGCTTGGTGCAGTTTCCCATTTATGTAGAGAAAATAAAACAAAGAGTAAAGAAAACAAGCCATAAAATACTTTGCAGAAGTCTGAGCATGGGAAGTTGTCACTTGATGTCCCTTGACAGCTCCAAGAAGGGGGTGGTGGTGCTATTTCTTGATGTTTGGCCTTAGAGTCTTCTTTGTGTGACCAGATGTTTGGGACGAACCTTTTGTTGATGGGAGGCATGTATGAAGAGAGATTGCAGCCTCAACTTCTCCTTAGTATTGGGAAGGTGCTCAGAGGCCCTCTGGGGGTGTGAGAAAGCGGGACTCTCCTTTGACAGAGTATATGGGTGGAGTCTGCCTCCAAAAAAGGCCAAGAGAAGCCACTCCAAAGCCTTGCTTAGTACAAAAGAGGCCTAGAGGATCTGGGTTGATCTTTCCAGATCCCTGATCCTGGGTGGGTGCACAAGGCCCTGGGATTTCTTTTTGGCCATGGCCCAGGGGCAGGATGAACTAGGCTGCTACACTGTCCCTCCATCCCCTGGCTTCTTGGTGCTGGGCCTGCTGGCTGCTTCAGCTCTCTGAGAAGCCTACTGGTTCTCTTGCCTGGTCTGCAGAGACAGGGAGTGTGACAGTCCTCTGTGGAGAAAGCAGGGAGAGGTTGCCATCTCCTCCTTTGTGCCTGGTTGAACTCAGTATTTGGGGCACTTGCTGGGAGACACCTAGTAAAGCTCTCAGGAGTTGGGAGTGGAGTTGTCCTCTGGGCTGGTTTGGCTTCCAGATATCAGGCGCGAACTGTCATGGCGACTCCTCTAAAGCCTTCCTCGACTTCCGCTAGTCACTTGAGTGACTTGGAAACTGACTACAAAGAATAGTGAAAGAAACTCGTAACACCAGAGAGAAAAATTAAACAGACAAATTTTTAAAAGTCACAAATAAAAATAACCTATGAATAAGAGACTGGTAAAAATATTTTCAGCTTGTAAAGAAAGCAGATGTTTTGAAATCCAGTCATAGAAAACAGCAGTAGGCAACATTAAGGGTGGGGGGAAAACCCTCCACCTTATTTGAAGATTGGGCAAATGGTATGAACAAGCAATGCACAGAGAGAGAAAGAAGTATAAATAGAGAGCCACATGGATAAATGACCAACTTCCCTGGTAATCAAAGACACGCAAATTAAAATCATGTGTCAGTCTTTTTCCCCCAGACAAATTGGCAAAGATTAAAAAAGGAAGAATGCTGATACCAAATACATATTGTTATTCTTTTCAAGGGTGTGGCGAAGTAAGAGCTGTCACATCCTGCTAGTATGAGGAGAAGCCAGTACAGCCTTTCTGGAGGGCCAGTTTGGATCCCAAGTTTAAAATACGCTGCTCCAAGATTTAACTCCAAACTCTGTCCTGAGGAATGCTCTGTGCAACAGTAATCAGAACAGCATAGAGCTGTTCAATGGCAGTCAGGGTGGTCACCACCGTGCTCCAAGGTGGTTACCACTGGGCTGCTTGTCCTTATGACGAAATGGAGACTGGGTAGCTTAGCTCCCCTGGGAGCTACATTGTAAAATATGTCTTTGTACTGCAAGGCGCCTGTGAGTACTGCCCAATCTTCAAAAAATGATAAAGAATGTACCTGTAGCCCCAGCATTTGGGACACTAGAACAGGAGGGTGGAGAGTTCGAGGCCAGCCTCGAGGTGAATGCCTCACAAGCCGTCAGTGACTGTGCCGGCTCTGCAGGGCGCCAGTGCATGTCTCCCAGTTCTAAGATCAAGGTGTTGGCCAGGTTGGCTTCTCCTGGGACGTCTCCATCTGGTTCACAGGTGCCTGCCTTCTCACCAGGATCCTGCCGGGTCTTCTACCAGAGTGCATCTGCGAAGTCTCTGTGTATCTAGGTTTCCTCTTCTTAGGGGAACACCTTGGAGTAGGACCCACCCTGAAGGCCTTGTTTTAACTCAGCCACCTCTTTAAAGTTCCTGTCTTCAGGCTGGGCATGATGGTGCATGGCTATAATCCCAGCTACTCAGAAGGCTGAGACAGGAAGATTACAAGCTCAAGCAGCCTGGGCAACTTACGAATACCTTGTCTCAAAATAAAACATTATAGCCATGATGGTGCATGGCTATAATCCCAGCTATTCAGAAGGCTGAGACAGGAAGATTACAAGCTCAAGGGTAGCCTGGGCAACTTACGAAAACCTTGTCTCAAAATAAAACATGGTGGATATAACTCAGTGGTAATGCTTGTCCTGCATTTAGGCCTTGTACCAACACCCAGTACCAAATAAAACAAAAACCTGTCATTAAATACAGTGGAAGTCATAGAGGTTGAACATCAACATCAGAATGGGGGGCTCCTCCGCCATGGTACTGTGAGGTACCCAATCTGTTTGTGGGTGGAAACCAGAAGAGCCGAGGAAAAGCCCCCAGAGCACAAGGCTGCCTCCCTGGGTCCGGCAGCTGCGGTGCAGGAGGCAGCCAGGCCTCCACTGGTGCCCGGCCCCTGTACCACCTTTGCTGATGGCCTCTTCCTGTCTTTTCTGCAGCCTGTAACTGCAATCTACATGCCCGGCGCTGTCGCTTCAACATGGAACTCTACAAGCTGTCGGGTCGCAAGAGTGGGGGCGTCTGCCTCAACTGTCGCCACAACACAGCAGGGCGCCACTGTCATTACTGCAAGGAGGGCTTTTACCGAGACATGGGCAAGCCCATCACCCACCGGAAAGCCTGCAAAGGTAGAGTGTGCTCCAGGGACAAGGGGCAAGGGAGTGTTGGGGACACCGGTCTTCCTTCTCTTTCACCTTTTCTATTTCTTGTTTCTAGCTCCCATACAAAGCGGCATAGACTGAGGTCAACACACACACACACACACACACACACACACACACACACACACACACACATGGCCTCCTTGGTATTTGGAGGTGTAAGCCAAACAAAGGGGCGATGGAGACATGGCTTAGAGGAGAAGAAAGGAGAAGGTGTGATGGCCCATGCAGGGGCAGCATCGGCTGGCTGCTACCTCCCCCAGGGGCGCCCCTGTGCACAGGTGTGCTGCATACCACAGGGACGCGAATCATGTTCACTGGGCTCACTGTTGGGACAAAGGACCCTCTTTTCCCCAGTCCATGCCGATGGACTTCTTCAGCTATGTGCATGCTGCTCCCGCCCCTTGTTACACACAGGCAGTCACAGCGAGGTCGCCGGTTTCAAGATTAGGGTCTCAGAAGGAACATTTAATCCATCTGCAAATAGCTCTACTTCTCAGGACAAAAAAGAAAAATTACAAGGAGATGGGAGACTCTATTTTTGTTCACTGAAGCAAACACTAATGTTTTAACTTTCTGCTGTTTGTTTTTCTCCCACCAACAAAAATGAAAGGCTGGTCAGATGACTCAGAGGAGCTGATGAATGCCAGGGAATTGAGTGGTGATAGAGAGTGAGAAGTAGGCCCCTGCCCCACACTGTCTTTTGGAGTTCCTGGAACCACGTCTCTTCTGCCCTGAGATTTGGGGGCTGGAGCCAACACCTGCCCTGAGCATGGCTTTCTAAGATGTTTGCTCCAAAGGGTGACAACTTGGCACATGTGGCCTGTGTAGAGCCTGACATGGGAGGGCCCTAAGCCACAGCAGACCTAAGCCTGGGCGATGAGCTGCTGTTCAGGGACTCTTCTGGGCCACTGCTCAGTCTCTGAGGAAAGCAAAAATATCATCTTCATCACAGGAAACCCACCAGATGTCCAGTACTTGTGCACTAGACTGACGTCATCCGCGGGTCCTGTGCAAAGCAGAAATACAGAGCTTCTTATTTAAAAATGAGGGGCTTGGGAGACAGCTCAGGGGAGATAGCTATCTGGCAAGTGCAAGGACCCAAGTTCAATCCCTGGTACCACATGCCATGCTGGCCCTGGCACACCGGGCGCACCGTGCTGACCACCAAAACCAGGCTTGGTGAGGCATACCTGTAATCCCAGCGCTGGAGAGGCTGAGACAGGAGGATCACTACAAGTCTGAGCTGCGTAGTGAGACCCTGTATCAAATAAATACATAAATGAAAGATTTTTTTAAAAATTTAAAAGATGATTAAGATTTTTAAAGCAGTGATTGCAGAGCTTCAGCCGAGTACAAGTCCTTGCCAGTGTGAAGCCAGGTCTGCTCCTACAGAACCCTTTTCTCAAGCAGTCGAACGGAAAAAAACCAAAGCCAAACCTGCCAGCTTCCCAGTGTGTCTCTTTCAGGAGGGGTCTCTCCAATTCCCGCTGCACAGATACGAGTAGGGCAATTCCAAGACACAGGCGCCTCTTCCCCAGATCTGTGGACCTACGGCTGCCTCTGCTGGTTGCCAAGAGAAATTTGAGCCTAAAGGTAGCTGGGCTGTTTCCACTTCAGAAAGGCAACTGCTCCTGGGGCCAATCCCCCAGAGTCCTTGAGAATGGGAAGGTGACCCAGGCACAGAGACCCAGGAGAGGTCTGTGCTGTTGGGAAGGTGTGAATGGGAAAGATAGCTTAGAGTTCTCAGTTTTGGCTTGTGCCCAAAGTAGTTACTGTCTCTGTTACAGAAGAAATTGAAACTGGGGTCTTGTAAGCAACTGCATTCTGCACAGATTTCCTGGAGATTTGGCCAAGAAATTTTGACCCAGATCAGCCACTAGGATGGGCAAACCTGTGCCATGGGGTTGGAAGTTCTGAGCTCTGTGGAGGACTTAGTCATTTACTGTTCTCCTGGGCTCTGCAGTTAGAGCAGAAATGTGTGTCCCTCAGAGAGGCAAGAAGGAGCAAAACCGTGGCCATCGGCCTTTCCCCTTCATTGCTGAGGACAGAGATGTGGCCGTGGGGTGCATGCTGCCCAAAAAGAGGGATGTTTGGAAGCCACAGGTTCCCAGAAGGCTCCAGTCATTCTCCAGAGTTGCTGCTTTTGTTGAAGATTCCTTCTGTGGTTTCTGGGTGGACAGATGCAGGCAGATGAGGGGATGTTCCCATTCTGTGAACCTACTACCTGGCAAGTGTTGGGGTGGTAGCCTCAGCGGCTGTCTTCCTCTCCGTTCCTGGGTAGCAGCAGCTGCCTCCTCACTTGGTGGGAACCTGGGGGAAGAATTCTCAGAGGGGAAAGCCTGCTGATGGGTTCTAGTCAGGGAGATGCATATCCTGCTGAGGAAATGTGGAGGGCAAAGGTGGGGCTCCTGCGCTCTTGACTGGAGAAGAAAGAGTGTGTCAATGAACCTACCACCTGATTGATGAGGAAAGGTCGTGTTTCAAGAATCTTGCCTTTTAATTCATGAGGAAAAGCAGAGCTTGCATCATGATTTGTAAGAAAAAAAAATCTAATTTCAGATTAATAAGCAAAAATGTTTCCTGAAAGATCCAGCCACCTCACTGTTGAAGAAAGATATCTCTTAGAAGTTCCAGACCTTTCCTCTCTACTCTTTCCTTTCCTCATATCATCTAAGCAGATGTGAGAGCTCTTGAGTCCTCAGTTCCACTAAGGGACAATTTCTGCTGAAGAGAGACCCTAAGATCTTGGTGGGAAGCAGCTTTAGGAGAAGTACAAACGCTGCCTGGCAGAGGAATATGTTCCCCCCTAGACCTTCCTGCAGGGGTATCTTGGTTGACACCCCCATCCCTCCTCCAGAGCTCCTCCCACAGGAGCCTTCCTCCTTGCTTTCCAGGGCCACGTGGTTTAAGAAATCCTTCCTTGTGTGGAAGTGCACTGGCCCCAGCTCCAGCCCCTGTGAGTGTCCTCAGGAAGCCCCATTATAGATTCCCAGGTAGAAGCCACACTTCTTTGCTTGGTTCAGACATATTCCACAGGAGGATTGGGACAATTGGCTCAGGACCCCCAGGTTGGCTTGGGAAAGGCCTTGGGGCCTTCTTTACTCTCTGACTTCTCAGGGCCCCGGAGGGGCCTGGGCAGGGGGCCGAGGCCACCCATACACTGCTGGTGATTGGCTGACTCAGGAGCTTGTTCAATACAGAACAGGGGTGGACCCAGACAAGAGCGGCTTGGAGCAAGGGCATTTGACTCCAAATGTTATTCTGCAGTCCCCCATTTGGGAAGTTTCATAGCAACAAATTTGTTGAGTTCTTTCTCCCCTCCCCTAGTTCAGGCGCAAACCCAGGCTGGCAGGGTTGGTGCATACAAAAGGCTGTAATAAACATGCCCAGGGAACAGGCTGCTGCACTCTCCAGCTATTCAGCCCAATTTCACAGCCCTGGGACGGCCTCATTATGGTGTGGGCTGTTGTCCTATACAAAGTCAGATGAGATGAATTTCTCCCTTTTCTCCCTAGAATGGATTGTGAACGATACCCCTCCTGGAATCTGTCAAAAGATAGGAGGTTTTGTTTACCATTTGTTTTCTTTATGGACTTTGGGGGCTTTCTTTTTAGAGTCCCGAAAAGAAGACGTTGCTCTTTAACCATTTCAGCCGCGCCTCCATTGATAACAATATTAATTTATCATCTTACCAAACCATCTGTGATGGATAAAGACATTCCAGGAGTCTCCCGTGAACCAAATTGTGATGAGAATTAAGAAATTAACCCCCGCATCTACCGTCCCCAAACAAAGGGCTTGCGTTCCATTTCACTGAGCAGCCCGTTCAGTGCATTCACTGCCCTCCCCCTCCAAGTCTGCAGTGAATGTGGCTGAAGGAGGGCTGCTGAGAAGGTGCTGGAGCCCTAAGAAGATGCAGTCATTAGCAGGGCAGAAGCATGTGACTGTCTGCACCATCTCTGTAGTGCATTCTTGTAGCTCTCATCAGCCCTTGATTTTTTTTCCTCAGCTCTGCCAAAGATTGGGGTTGCGGAGGAAATGAGCACCTCGGAGCAGCTCCCTTTCACGCCCTGGGCTCTTTGTGCAAGCCCTGTGTCTCATTCTGGATTCTCCACCTTCACTTCCTGGCATCATCAGCGAATGGGTCTCTAGCTTGTACTGCAGTTCCATGCATGGGAATAATCTGGGGAAATTGAAAAATGCTGCTGCCTGGGTTCCACCCCGGAGATTCTGGTTTCGTTAGTGGGTCCAAATGAGACCTGGGCATTGGGAACTGGAAGAGCTCCCCAGGTGATTCTCAAGTGTAGCCAACATGGAGAGTCACAGAGATTAAGAACCAGAGAATGAGAAAGGAGGATGGTGCTTTGCTCCTGACAGTGTAGGTCAGGGAACACTCACAGGTGGCCTGGGTCCCAGAGTTTGCTCCTGAGAGAGGAAAGGCTTGTAATCAATTGAATTGAAAAAGGTTTTTATGACTGCCTTGGTGAACACTGGGTTGGGGAGACATTTAAATTTTTTTTATGTATTTATTATTTTTTCCATAATTTTATTGAAAAACAAATAGCAATGAGACAGTTTCAAACCAAATTGGTCAGACAGTTTCAATAATTAACACATTGCATACTGTCTTCCTAGTGGTTAATTGCTGTACAAGATGCAGACATGATATCCTATTTACAAACACTATTAGAACAAATCCCTCTATTCATTAAGAGAATGTAATTATATATCTAACCTAACCACTTTGAATACACAGATACAAAATGGGCATTCATCTGTATCCCCTTTTTTTTGTTTAGTTCCGTTATTTGAATATTATAGGTGTGTTAACTCAGCAAGATATTCTAAAAGAGTTCAGTAGTCCATAATAGTATTGGGTCTTCCGCTTCACTGGCAATGTCAGAAATTGTTGACCTGAGTCCCCTACAGCTCAACATAACAGCATGGCTTTACTTCTTATACTT